GCTGGAGAGTACTGAGGGAACTGATTTCTGCTTTAGCTCAATTTGTTGTAATTTCTACCAAGACCAAAAAGGCTTTACCCCTAATTTAATATACTCTTTTGAACATTTTTCTCCCCAGACCTTGTGTTAGATAGTTCCTCCAGCATCTCACGGGTTTAGTGGTGAAGGACCTACTAATTTCCAGCCTAAATTTATTCAGGGACAGCTTATACCCATTCATTCTTGTGTCAACATTGTCCTTTAGTTTAAATTGCTCTTTTGCCTTCCTAGTGTTTATCCTCCTGATGTATTTATAGACAGCAATCATATCTGCTATCAGCCTTCATTTTGCTAGACTAAACAAGCCAAGCTCTTCTAGGCTCTTCTCCGGTGATGGGCTCTTCACTCCCAGCACCTGGTCGGATCCGGGTTGCTCAGCGGTGAATACAAGTGACCTGGATTGTGCTCAGCATCCAGATGAGCCCTCAGTGCTTGGCACAAAGAAATACTATCATTGTATCTGCAAGGCTAATACTGTACATGGTGCGTTTGCCAATGCTGTTTGTCTCCTGCTGCACAGCAGGAAGTTGATGGGATGTGGTGCCAGTCCTTCCTGCTCATGTCCACTAAATCAGCTGCCACAAAAGTCCTCTTGTTGGTCCCTTGCTGCATTATGTTCTGTTTTGTACTAAGAAATCCTATCTTGTTTCTGTTATTTAATTCTCTGTTGACCCTTCTTCCAAGCTGTTACCTCTTCCTGTACAAGGCACTTCTAACTTTTTCACCAAGCCCTGAATCAACTTCCCATTAACCAGCTTAAACCAATTCTTCAGCTAATTCCCATCCTCTGGAATTTAGCTGATGTATGTCTTTGTGGCTCTGTATCAGATGATTGACAGAAGAGCAGACAGATTAGATCTGCCACAAGTGCTTAAATTATTCTTTTCTTTGTAATTTTTTTTTCCTTCAAAAGCCCTTCTTAGTTTTTAGGTCAGACTAAAAGCTCAGCACTTATCAAGATCAGCTTTTTCTTTTTTTCCATGAATTAAGTAGAAGTAGCACATTCACCTTCATCTAGCATGAGGATTTGCTAGATTTATTAAAAATACCGGCCACTGGACCTCCAATGACTTCACTGGGGCTGGGTTTTTAGTCTGCCCCAGCCAGGGCAGAAACTTGTTTCTTCTGTTCCACAGCATCACCACCAGAGCAAACATATAGGAACTATTTCACTTTTCTGGGTTAAGACTATTCAGCGCTATATCCATGCTGTAGTTTCTGCCCTGCGCTACTTAAAATGTCACTTCTGCAAAGAAAGGGAATATCAGAATTATTCTGTATGATCAAAACCCCATCAAGAAAATGTCTCGTATGCTTGGGGGCACAGGGCTGTCTTTTTTTTTTAATAGTGGTAACAATAATAATAATAGTAGGACAACAAACTAAGATGCCCCTGGAGATGCGGTGACAAATTGGAAAGACATGTTGAAATTGAAATTGATTGAATAGTTCAATAAAATCAGCTTAATGCACAAAAGCAAAAAGGTTAGCTACAGAAAAACAAAAAATCAGTAATTTCTTGTCTGCTGGGGCCAATCTCACTGAAGATTGAATTAGTTATAAATTTAAACTAGGTACTTGAGTGTGCCACCTTTTTATGCCCACGCTGGAGGCTTTCAGATGAAACTGGATGTGGATGGCAACCGAGTGCCTAAAGGTCTGACAAATCCCAGTCTACTTTCATTTACATGCTTTCCTGTTTGACACAACTTTACATGCCAGCCAAGATCTTTCTCTCTGTCAGACCACACTTCTGCTCTAAATAGGATAGTTGTGCCTTCAGCTGAGGAAAATCAGAGCACCTTTGGTAAAGTTTGCATCAGGACTTTAGCTCTGGCTTGGTCCCTGATTGCTGCAGCTGCCTCCAACCCTGAACACCTGTCTCAAACTTCTCTACTCCCAAAACGATCACAAAACGATCCTGTCCAATCACTCCATGCATTTGCTATCTGCTATAATACCTCACATTTTCTCATCTGCCTCTGTGCTTGCTTTCACATAAGGAGCATTCCTGTGTTTTCCTTCCCTCTTCCCATCCGCGTGAACCAGCACTTTGTGGCTGGTACCTTACTAAATTCTGGGCATTTTCATTTTTGGGTTTGTATTATCTGATAGATACAATCTCTTTTTTAAATTTCTTTAAAGTAGTGTTCTGAATTTGTTCTGGATTTTTTATTAACACTGTGCTATGATGCTCGGTGAACTGCATTTTGTTAAATAAAAAACCCGATTGTAAATCTGAGATTAATAAGACAGAGTCTCTGAGTACACACACATGCAAGCATGTCATCAGAGTGCGTATAATTTAATACCTGTACATGGAGCACAATGGCGAGGCTAACAGAACTCTTAAATGAGACTTTCTAGTCCCTTTCCCCCTCATGTATAAGAGGATTCTTGGATTCTTTTTTTTTTTTTTTTCCCAGGGGAAGCTTTGGTTAAGGGCCAAATGAAGCCAACTAGAAAAGAGATGAAGGCAGCAGGAGGCTTGTAGCCCAGGTCCCAATACAAGTCAGTTCTGTGCAGACCACATGCGACCTTATCCAAGGTCTGCAGTTCATTCTCGGAGCTCAGAAGAAAGTTTGCCTGGCAGTGGCAGGGTTTCAGGACCGCTTTTGGCACAGAATTCAAGCTGCCTCGGCTCCCACAGCCCCGCTCTGCTGCTGGACCTGGCCGTGCAACCTCAGTCTGCAGACAGGGGAAAACTCAAAACCGCAAAAAAGAAGAGCCCCCACTGCTGGAGGCTATTTCCTTGCCCTCTTTGATGGGAAGAAGGAAAGTGTGTGGGTTTTTTTCATGCGGAGGTTGTGGAAGTACTGGAGCTTTTAAAATGCTGGGCGACAGCTATGCCATCAGATAGGAAACGCCACGTTACACGGCTCCGTCTCACTGCAGCCAGGAATATTAGAGGTGGCTTTGCCATTTAAATGTACTATTGAATTGTGGTCTCTAATGTGGGCCTCCGACCTGGTTTTCTAATTTCTGTGGAATCTGATTGCCACTATTTTTTAACTATCTTTCCCCTTTCTATGATTTAAACCTAATTTGGCTTGCAAGCATTTGGCCGGTTTGGGAATACTTCTGTCAGTCTCCTAAATTGTCTGTAAGAGGGAAGGAAGACAGGGCAAAATATGAAATAGAAATTATGTTCATTAATAAGGACATTTCAGCCTTACGATTACTCAGTGCTTTGCAAATGGAGCAATGAATGGCAACTTTTTGCAGGAGGAAAAACAAGGGCTAACAATAGTTTCTCCCTCATGTTTTATTAGACAAGGTAGCAAGAGATAATGAAAGTACATTTCCATAATATATTCCAGTCGCAAGGTGCTGATGGATCCTTATGTGCGATGTCTTGTCAATTTAGCAGATTAATATCTGTCAATTAAATGAGCTGGAATCAAGATAAAGCTAAAATTCAGATCTCTGTTATTCTAGCAATTCAGAAGAATTCAAGAATTAAAGCAGTTACAGCAGTTCAAGAGTGTCTGTATGGGAGTAAACAGACCTAACTGACCTAATTCTCACCCTTTGAAGTTTCAAAGGACATCTGACATTTTACACAAGCCTGCAACATCTGCCAAGGAAAAGGGCAGCCCTCGAGTAGCTGAACCGGACTCCAACAGCAGGAAGCAATCCAGCACACAGCTGCTCCGGGCAGGTTTCTCCTCCCATCGAAGTCCCTCCACTTGGCTTTGCGAAAAGCTTTTCCTGCATAACATTGTGCCTCCATCTCATCTTCACACCCCTTGGGCTCTCCATTGCTCCACCAGGGCAGCTTGATCCCCATGTCCCAACTCACAGCCGTAATTACACCATAGGCATCCAAAGCAAATCCTGCAGCATCTCCTACTTGTCCCCTCAAAACTTATCCACTCTGCGAGCACACAAGCTGTAGGGCTTACCAAGAGCAAGGTCCTAGGGGGTAGGGGGGGTTAGTTTTCCTCTCAGCCACACGGATTTGGGCTGGATCCCTCCCTGGTCCTCTGCACATCTCTCCAGCTGCCTACAGAGGACAGGAGCTTTGCCGTCATATCTGCCTGTAAGAGCAATGAAGCTGGTGAAGGGATTACAAAAAAAGACTTATGAGGAGCAATGAGGGAATTGGGCTGTTTAGGCTAAAGAAGAGGAGGCTGAGGGGAGATCTCATTGCTCTCTACAACTACCTGAAAGGAGGGTGCAGCGAGGAGGGTGTTGGTCTCATTTCTCAGGTGATATTCACAAATAAAGAGGCATTGCAGGGAGATGTACAAACATGCAAGATCAGGTGCTGCTCTCCTATTTTATTTTATTCAGGTTTGTTTTCCTATTGCATTAACATACAGTCTAAGTGTCTTCCAGAAGAACTTTTGTGAATGATTTTCATGGCTTGCTCTGTAAGACATTTTCCTTGATAGCGTGGAATTCCTCTGAAATTCCTCGGGAATTTACAATAGTTCTGCTGAACTTTTGTTTATTGTATAGATTTATTTTTTTTCATACTTAACCTAAATTCTTTTTTTTACCCAGTTTGTGTTAAGGATTGAAATGGGGAGGATATCTTAAGTGTCACTTTGTGGGTATCAAACTGTTGGCAGAACCACCCGGAGTGCCACCAGGCAATGTTGCTCTCAGCTTGGGGGGTATAATGTTTTGGTGATGTTTTCAGTGAAAACACATCAGCCAAGTTTTTACTGGTTTTCAAAAGACACAAACTAATGTTGCTGAAAATGCTTAAAAATTAACAAAAACATCTGTTTGAACCTATGATTTCTGTATTTAAGATTTTTATTTTCCCATAAAATTGGTGATAACCTCCAATCTATGCAAAAATCCATTCAAAAATATGATAGGAAATTTTATGTCTTCTTACTAACATTTTGAGTCCAACTAACTTCATAATAACTGCACTTGTGTATGGAAAATAAACCCAGGCATTTTACAGGCTGTATTTTTGTTTCTCTTCTTTTATTTTGCTCCAGAAAGTTCAGCAGTATATAGTCATTGTTCAAGCCACAGATATGGAAGGAAATCTTAACTATGGTCTCTCAAACACGGCAACTGCAATCATTACGGTGACAGATGTGAATGACAACCCACCCGAATTCACTACGAGCACTGTAAGTATCAATATATCAGCACAGCAATGCATGGACACACAGCGTGTTTAGAATTCATGGATTTATGTATCAGTCATCTCCCTTTGCTGGTCTGGCAGACAGGAGGAACTTGATAGATCTGTGGGACAAAGATTTTTGGGGGCAAAAAAAAGGGGGGGGGGGGAAGGGAAAAAAAAAAAAAAAGAATGATCTATGAACTAGCAAAACTATTTGGCAACCAATTTCACTGAGGTACTAAAGGAGCTGAAATAATGTGGCAAACAGACTATGTCTGATTGCACCGAAGAGGATACAGTTGTTTCACAGCAATTGGCTGTAGATGTCTCAGAGTTATTATTACTTATAAGTGAAATCCTGAGCAGTAAGAGATATTTTGGGTTTAGTAGCTTGGATACGATTTCAAAGAAGCAGTAAATACTCTAAATGGTAACAGTTATTTGGTAAAATTTGTATTACACTGATAGCTCTAACAGATGTGTTTGTGTGTGCCAGCAGTAAACGCACAGACATACTTCAGTACATCTGGTTTTAATCAGTGTAAGATCTTACTTAAATTAGTACAGTATTTCTCTATCTCATTCTTACGTGCTCCAAGTCTTTATTATTTGGGAGGAAGTGGAAAAGATAAAGAGATTGCAAATGACAAATGATTAGAGTTGGTTAAGATAAAAATGAAAAGACAGAAGGAGAAATGATGTGGTCTGGTTCTTTCCAGCCTTCATAATCCGTAGAGATAGACATCCGAAACATGGATAGTAACCACAAAGGACCATAGAGGTCTACATGCTAATAAAAGAGAAATCACTGTGTAACCACTGTCTATATGCATATCAGGGACAACCAGGAGTGGTAAATGATGTATCTCAAACAGATACCAGATCGCTAAAAATACAAGAAGTCAAAACTGCACTGTGCTCATGTCACCGAATATCATTTAAGGAATGCATTTATTATTTATATTATTGTGAATTTTCATTCCATTTTACAGGACATGCAAATATTTATTCACATAGTGTCAGAGTTTCCCCTTATTTACACCCATAGAAACTACGAATATGCAGCAGAACTCAAGGAAGTCATGCAAAAGCCCACTTGATGCCACCATGGACCCAGATGGGCTCCATGCCAGCTGTGGGATCCTTTCCTCCCATCACCTGAGCTCTTGGTCACAGTGTGCTCAGTTTCTGAGCAGTGACAGCATTTTTTTGATGAAGTGACTAGGACAAAGATTCTCAGAAAAAGAGCGGCACTAAATTCCTCCTGAATGAGAGAGAAATGGGCACCCTACACATTTTCAGGTCTGGCCCTCAGCCTCCAGTCTGTTGCTGTTGCAGCGGGTAGAGCTTGGGTTTTACAACAGCACATGTGCTTCCTATCTGTTGCGGTGAATACACTGAGCTTTGTATTGTGAAGCTGTCATTACATATCTCCTTACATATGATACATATGGTTGTGGAGAGCTGTAAAAATGCGATGCAGATCTTGAGCCATGTGGCCCCTTCTCCTGCCAGTATGGGATTGTTTTCCCTGGAAACTTTTGTAGTGGCTGGTCTTACACAATTTGGCATCTCCCAGGTAATGGGACTTTCTACCACAACAGTACTTGTGCATGCTAATCTTGGGTGGGGGGCTTATTCTGCCAGGTAAATATCTCTTTAACCTTCATTTGAGTGAAAAAGGAATGACATCTAGTGGCCACATCATTTAAGCACAGGTTGTTCTGGATGACCCTTAGCTCCAAATGAAAGGTAGGAAGCGAAGTCTCTGGTAGTGCCTTCTGCAGGGCAGCATCCCTTCAGGTAGTGATCCGCATCTGAAGGGGATGTATTTTGAAGTCTGTCCAAAATGTTTTCCAAAGCTGAATCAGATGGAAGGTTAAGATAACAGAGATTCGCTTTCAGGTGAATTCTAAGTATTTAATGTTTCAGTGTTTGTAAGGCCTAGGAGGAATAAAAGTCATCAAGAGAATTACCCATAGGATTGTGTTAAATGGATCAAAAAATGTTACTCTTCCTCTAAGCAGGGCTGATGTGTACCATTATTTCTCTAATTTTAATCACTAAAGAAAGAGTTCTGCAAAGGCCAAAGGGCTTTATACAGTAGCACTAGGGACTTGATAAAGATTTGAAAACCAAGTGTGCCTTGCAATAATGTTTTCTGATTCTATGGAAACAAATATCTTTGATATACTCCCAGGTATAGTCAGGATGAATTTCATGTGAGTATGAAAGTGTAATACGATTTTTCCCTGTCTGGCATAGAGAAAAGCATCAGGCTAATCAGTTTCTTTAAACCTAAGCTGAATCTCTTTGCTGTCCTCAAATAGTCTGATCTGCATTTTAACACCTCTAAAAAAAAAGGCAAAATCTCTTTCCAGAAAATTTACAGCTCTCAGAGGATAAGAAAGCCCATGGTGTCTTTTAAAACCAGAGACTGTTTGGAGAGATACGGTATATTTTTATTTAAAATACTTCTGTATTGAGACGCTGTTGTAAAAACAAAATAGGCTGAATAACTGAAATAATGGTTTGCTCTTGGAAAGTTGCCAGATGAAAGGAACTGGAGCAACTATATTCAGCTCTGAAGCACACAAAGGCCAACCCTATAGCGCTCCTAAATTACCTGCCATTCAGCCAGGGTGGTTTTAGACTTAATCGTTTCTGGATAAGAATGTTGCTCGGGAGGACGCTGCTCCATGCTGGTGTCACAGCTCATGTGTTCAGCAGCAGGAATTAATGTTGCTGTGTAAAACTTAACAACGGGACAGGAAAGGGAAAAAGCAGACCCTGTGATGGTCAAGAAATTTGGATCACATTGGTAGTCAGGCACGGCTGAGGAGGCTGCATGCACAGACCAGGTGGAAGGCCAGACACAAGCGTATGAGTGCCAGCATCACACATCCACGGGAGGGTATGGGCTGCCCAGGTGCTTTGTTTAACAGCCATCCAAAATACTAAGCAGGCAGTGATCATGATGTAGTGCTAGAGGAGAAGTCAGAAACGAGTAATAAAATCACACAGAAGATCCTTAAACGTTTGAATTAAAGATAGTCAGATAAAATTCCGAAATGATTGTTTGCTTACATGAAAGTGGATCGATCTATTTTTCATATCCTTTCGTACATTACATGAAAGGCCAGGGGAAGAAGAATCTTCACCTTCTCACACAAAGGATTCTGAAGTTATAAGATGGGAAAAAACCACAATCTGTAAAGGGAATAATTCTGAGTTGAAGTCTGCTGCTAACGCTAAGCCCAGTCCCCATCAGTGGAGTCACGACCAGTTGTGGCCATCGTGACCTGGCCTACCAGCATCAAAGCAGGAGGCACTGGGGCACGGCAAGGATGAGGTGACCTCCCCTAGTCCTTTACAGCTCTGATTTTTGTGATGGTGAATGCATCCTCAATTTGCTTTGCTACTTGACCATGCTGAGAAGCATCAGAGAGCAGCTAACGGGGGGAAATGTCTCGTGAGATACTGCCACAGAGTGGGAAACAGATCTGTGCCAGAAGAGTGGAGCATCCTATGGTGCTGTAAACATCATAGACAGCTATTTTGGGCAATTTTAATGATTTAGTGCAGGACAGTGACCCAGGGAATGCTCTTCTGGCTAGCTAAGGGACTTCAGCAGCCGGCTCTTTGTGTTGTGTTCTTCATGTGACTTTGCTGCTTGCAAAAATAAATGGATGGAGTTGATTCTTCCCTCTGCCAAAGAGCAGTGACATTAATTCTCCACTGTGTGCCCAACCAGCCTGCGCCCCCAGGCTCTGGGTGGAACGCCTTGCAAAAGTTTCACCTCCCGTGACCAAGTTTTCCTTTTGGAGTGATTCACTGCACTCATTCATTCTTGTGGCATTTTTGATGGGTTTGCACCTCCCAGATCATCAGTGGTATAAAATAGTAAAATTTTAACTGGTCTGCATTGCAAAGACCTTGTAGCAAGTTTCACTGGGAAACTTGCTCCCTAACTGCTACACGATAAAGATACTGGTATCAGCATGCCCTCTGCTATCCAGAGTCTCTGCTACTCATAACAGGGTCATGTCCTCTGACACTTCTCGATGTAGAAATTCCTCTGCCTCCCTTCAAATATTTATCTCCTGTGTGCAGGCGAGTTGCGCTTTCTTCACATTAATATAGATCCATGGCTGAGCCTCTGGCCAGATGCTCGTCTCAGATACAGAGAAGGCACAGTGAAATTAGTGTTGGTGTTTCAAAGATTAAACATCAGCTGAGACAGAACAATGCAGGATAGTCTCAGGTGAGATTTTATGCAAGGGAGAGGCATTTTTTGGCTCATGGAAGGAATACCTTTAATGTCAATGAAATCTTTAGCTCCTCTCAAGCAGGATGCCCTTTCCAGTCTGACCCATCATACCATTAATAGCCATCCAAGGGTTTCCACTTTATCTGAGGAAATGCATAATCAGAGGGGAGGAGAAGTAAAAGGAATCCATGCCTACACTTGACTCTTACAAAGTCTATTTTTATCGTATTCAATCAGGAACAATCAGGCGCAGAGAGGAGACGCAGATGAATTTGCATGATCAGACTTCTGTGTCTTAAATGTTAATTAAAAGTTATTTTAAATTTGCCTACTGTGCAGAACTTGTTTTTATAGTAGCCCGTGTAAGGGAAATATTATTTCATAGGGCTGAAGTGCTTGTGATTAGTTGAGCTTGTGGATTCTTGGAAGAACCTGGCTGGCAATCAACCTCTCCTTTAAAAAAAAATAGAAAAGGAAAAAAAAAAAAAAAAAAGAAAGAAAGGGGAAAAAAGAATCTGGGCTATTCAAGTTCTTTAAGCTCCTGAGCCTTAGGAGGTCTTATTTAAAGCTACTTTAAAATTTGCCCTTTGGCACTGCTTTGAGAATCTTCTCTTGCGAGGCTGAACCCAGTGGAGCATATTTTAAAGCATCCTCTCTAGGACTGCCTTCACTGCCACGCCACCTCTCAGGCTGATCTCCCATTAGGAACAGCTCTGAAGGTTTAGGACCGGACT